ACTTACTTTGTATGACAGGCTCTAGGTCCATCCACCTCACTACAAATAACTCAACTTCGTTCCTTTTTATGGCTGAGTAATATTCCATTGTATATATGTACCACACCTTCTTTATCCATTCGCCTGTCAGTGGGCATTTAGGTTGCTTCCATGACCTGGCTATTGTAAATAGTGCTGCAATGAACACTGGGGTGCCTGAGGTCTTTTGGAATTATGGTTTTCTCTGGGTATATGCCCAGTAGTGGGACTGTTGGGTCATATGGTAATTCTATTTTTAGTTTTTTAAGGAACGTCTATACTGTTCTCCATAGTGGCTGTATCAATTTACATTCCCACCAACAGTGCAAGAGAATTCCTTTTTTCTCCACACCCTCTCCAGCATTTGTTGTTTGTAGATTTTCTGATGAGGCCCATTCTAACTGGTGTGAGGTGATAACTTATTGTAGTTTTGATTTGCATTTCTCTGATAATTAGTGATGTTGAGCAGCTTTTCATATACCTCTTGACCATCTGTATGTCTTCTTTGGAGAAATGTCTATTTACATCTTCTGCCCATTTTTTGATTGGGTTGTTTGGTTTTTTAATATTGAGCTGCACCGGCTGTTTATATATTTTGGAGATTAATCCTTTGTCCATTGATTCGTTTGCGAATATTTTCTCCCATTCTGAGAGTTGTCTTTTCATCTTGCTTACGGTTTCCTTTGCTGTGCAAAAGCTTTTAAGTTTTCATTAGATCCCATTTGTTTCTTTTTGTTTTTATTTCCATTACTCTAGGAGATGGGTCAAAAAAGATCTTGCTGTGATTTATGTGAAAGAGTGTTCTTCCTATGTTTTCCTCTAAAGGTTTTATAATGTCTGGCCTTATATTTAAGCCTTTAATCCATTTTGAGTTTATTTTTGTGTATGGTGTTAGGGAGTGTTCTAATTTCATTCTTTTACATGTAGCTGCCCAGTTTTCCCAGCACCACTTATTGAAGAGACTGTCTTTTCTCCATTGTATATACTTGCCCCTTTGTCATAGATTAGTTGACCATAGGTGCATGGGTTTATGTCTGGGCTTTCTATCCTGTTCCATTGATCTATATTTCTGTTTTGGTGCCAGTACCATATTGTCTTGATTACTGTAGCTTTGTAGTATAGTCTGAAGTCAGGGAGTCTGATTCCTCCAGCTCCATTTTTCCCCCTCAAGATTCCTTGGGCTATTCAGGGTCTTTTGTGTCTCCATACAAATTTTAAGACTTTTTGTTCTAGTTCTGCAAAAAAAAAAAAAAAATGCCATTGGTAATTTGATAAGGATTGCATTGAATCTGTAGATTGCTTTGGATAGTATAGTCATTTTCACAATATTAATCCTTCCAATCCAAGAACATGGTATATCTCTGCATCTGTTTGTGTCATCTTTCATTTCTTTCATCAGTGTCTTATAGTTTTCTGAGTACAGGTCTTTTACTTCCTTAGGTAGGTTTATTCCTAGGTATTTTATTCTTTTTGTTGCAAGGGTAAATGCGATTATTTCCTTAATTTCTCTTTCTGATTTTTCATTGTTACAGTATAGGAATACAAGAATTTCTGTGCATTAATTTTGTATCCTGCAACTTTACCAAATTCATTGATTAGTTCTAGTAGTTTTCTGGTGGCATCTTTATGATTCTCTATGTATAGTATCATGTAGTCTGCAAACAGTGACAGTGTCACTTCTTCTTTTCCAATTTGGATTCCTTTTATATCTTTTTCTTCTCTGATTGCTGTGGCTAGGACTTCCAAAACTATGTTGAATAAAGGTGGCGAGAGTGGACATCCTTGTCTTGATTCCTGATCCTACTGGAAATGCTTTCAGTTTTTCACCATTGAGTATGATGCTAGCTGTGGGTTTGTCATATATGGCCTTTATTATATTGAGGTAGGTTCCCTCTATGCCCATTTTCTGGACAGCTTTTTTATCCTAAATGGGTGTTGAATTTTGTCAAAAGCTTTATCTGCATCTATTGTGATGATCATATGGTTTTTATCCTTCAATTTGTTAATGTGGTGTATCACAATGATTGATTTGCATATATTGAAGAATCCTTGCATCCCTGGAATAAATCCCACTTGATCATGGTGTATGATCCTTTTAATGTGCTGTTAGATTCTGCTTGCTAGTATTCTGTTCAGAAATTTTGCATCTATGTTCATCAGTGATATTGGTCTATAATTTTCTTTTTTTGGAATAGCTTTTTCTGGTTTTGGTATCAGGGTGATGGTGGCTTCGTAGAATGAATTTTGGAGTGTTTCTCCCTCTGCAATTTTTTGGAAGAGTTTGAGAAGGACTGGTGTTACCTCTTCTCTAGATGTTTGATCGAATTTGCCTGTGAAGCCATCTGGTCCTGGACTTTTGTCTGTTGGAAGATTTTTAATTACGGTTTCAATTTCATTATTTGTGATAGGTCTCTTTATATTTTCTAATTCTTCCTGGGTCAGTCTTTGAAAATTGTACCTTTCCAAGAACTTGTCCATTTCTTCGTGGTTGTCCATTTTATTGGCATATAGTAATTTGTAGTAGTCTCTTATAATCCTTTGTATTTCTGCACTGTCAGTTGTGATTTCTCCTTTTTCATTTCTAATTTTATTGATTTGTGTCCTCTCCCTTTTTTTCTTGGTGAGCCTGGCTAAGGGTTTATCAATTTTCTTTATCTTCTCAAAGAACCAGTTTTTAGTTTTATTGATCTTTGCTACTGTTTTCTTCATTTCTATTTCATTTGTTTCTGCTCTGATCTTTATGATTTTATTCCTTCTACTGACTTTGGGTTTTCTTTGTTTTCTTTCTCTAGTTGTTTTAACTGTAGGGTTAGATCGTTTACTTGAGATTTTTCTTGTTTCTTGAGGTGAGATTGAATAGCTATAGACTTTCCTCTTAGAACTGCTTTTGCTGCATCCCGTAGGTTGTGGGTCGTCATGTTTTTGTTGTCATTTGTTGCTATGTATTTTTTTATTTCTTCTTTGATTTCTACAGTGATCTCTTGGTTATTTAGTAGGGCACTGTTTAGCCTCCATGTATTTGTGTTTTTTACAGTTTTTTTCCTGTAATTGATTTCCAATCTCACAGCGTTTTGGTCAGAAAAGATGCTTGATACGATTTCAACTTTCTTCAATTTTCTGAGGCTTGATTTTTGACCCAAGATGTGATCTACCCTGGAGAATGTTCCATGTGCACTTGAGAAGAAAGTGCATTCTGCCACTTTTGGGTGGAATGTTCTATAAATATCTTTTAGATCTATCTCTATTGTGTCATTTAAAACTTGTGTTTCCTTACTTATTTTCTGTTTGGATGATCTGTCCACTGGTGTAAGAGGGGTGTTAAAGTCCCCCACTATTATTGTGTTACTGTCGTTTCTCCTTTCATGGTTGTTAGCATTTGCCTTATGTATTGGGGTGCTCCTATGTTGGGTGCATAAATATTTATAATTGTTTTATCTTCTTCTTGGATTGATCCCTTGATCATTATGTAGTGTCCTTCCTTGTCTCTTGTAACACTTTATTTTAAATCTATTTTATCTGATATGAGTATTGCTTCTCCAGCTTTCTTTTGATTTCCATTTGCATGGAATATTTTTTTCCATCCCCTCACTCTCAGTCTGTATGTGTTCCTAGGTCTGAAGTGGATCTCCTATAGACAGCATATATATGGGTCTTGTTTTTGTATCCATTCAGCCAGTCTGTGTCTTTTGGTTGGAGCATTTAATCCATTCACATTTAAGGTAATTATCGATAAGTATGTTCCTATTACCATTTTCTGAATTGTTTTGGGTTTGTTTTTGTAGGTCCTTTTCTTCTCTTGTGTTTCCCACTTAGAGAAGTTCCTTTAGCATTTGTTGTAGAGCTGGTTTGGTGGTGCTGAATTCTCTTAGCTTTGCTTATCTGTAAAGCTTTTGATTTCTCTGTCGAATCTGAATGAGATCCTTGCCAGGTAAAGTAATCTTGGTTGTAGGTTCTTCCCTTTCACCACTTTAAATATGTCATGCCACTCCCTTCTGGTTTGTAGAGTTTCTGCTGAGAAATCAGCTGTTAACCTTATGGGAGTTCCCTTGTATGTTATTTGTCGTTTTTCCCTTGTTGCTTTCAATAATTTTTCTTTGTCTTTCATTTTTGTCAGTTTTATTACCACGCGTCTCAGCGTGTGTCTCCTTGGGTTTATCCTGCCTGGGACTCTCTGTGCTTCCTGGACTTGGGTGGCTATTTCCTTTCCCACGTTAGGGAAGTTTTCCACTATAATCTCTGCAAATATTTTCTCAGGTCCTTTCTCTCTCTCTTCTCCTTCTGGGACCCCAATAATGCAAATGTTGTGCATTTAATGCTGTCCCAGAGGTCTCTTAGGCTATCTTCATTTCTTTTCATTCTTTTTACTTTATTCTGTTCCATGGCAGTGATTTCCACCATTCTGTCTTTCAGGTCACTTATCTGTTCTTCTCCCTCAGTTATTCTGCTATTGATTTCTTCTAGTGTATTTTTCATTTCAGTTATTGTATTGTTCATCTCTGTTTATTTGTTCTTTAATTCTTCTAGGTCTTTGTTAAATGTTTGTTGCATTTAACAACATGCAACAAACATCGATCTTTGCCTCCATTCTTTTCCCAAGGCCCTGAAACATCTTCACTATCATTATTCTGAATTCTTTGTCTGGAAGGTCACCTATCTCCACATCATTTAGTTGTTTTTCTGGGGTTTTATCTTGTTCCTTTCTCTGGTACACAGTCCTCTCCCTTTTCATTTGGTCTATCTTTGTGTAAATGTGGTTTTCATTCTACAGGCTGCAGGATTGTAGTTCTTTTTGCTTCTGCTATCTGTCCTCTGGTGGATGAGGCTATCTAAGAGGCTTGTGCAAGCTTCCTGATGGGAGGGACTGGTGGTGGGTAGAGCTGGGTGTTGCTCTGGTGAGCAGAGCTCAATAAAACTTTAATCTGCTTGTCTGCTGATGGGTGGGGCTGAGTTCCCTCCCTGGTTGTTAGTTGTTTGGCCTGAGGTTACCCAGCACTGGATGCTACAAGGCTCTATGGTTGGGCTAATGGCAGACCCTGGGAGGGCTCACACCAAGGAGCACTTCCCAGAACTTCTGCTGCCAGTGTCCTTGTCCCCATGGTGACCAACAGCTGCCCCCCACCTCTGCAGGAGACACTCCGACACTAGCAGGTAGGTCTGCTTCAGTCTCCTATGGGGTCACTGCTCCTTCCCCTGGGTCCCAATGCACACACTATTTTGTGTGTGCCCTCCAAGAGTGGAGTCTCTGTTTTCCCCAGACCTGTTGAAGTCCTGCAATCAAATCCCGCTAGCTTTCAAAGTCTGATTCTCTGGGAATTCTTCCTCCTGTTGCCGGGCCCCCAGGTTGGGAAGCCCGACGTGGGGCTCAGAACCTTCACTCCAGTGGGTGGACTTCTGAGGTATAACTGTTCTCCAGTTTGTGAGTCGCCCACCCAGCAGTTATGGGATTTGATTTTATTGTGATTGTGCCCCTCCTACCGTCTCACTGTGGCTTCTCCTTTGTTTTGGGATGTGGAGTATCTTTATTGGTGAGTTCCAGTGTCTTCCTGTTGATGATTGTTCAGCAGTTAGTTGTGATTCCAGTGCTCTCGCAAGAGGGAGTGTGAAATTGGTGAATTTTTGTGTAGCCATTTTAATATTGAAGATGGAAGAAAAAGAGCAATATTTTTGGCATAGTATGCTTTATCATTTCAAGAAATGTAAAAACGCAACTGAAACACAAATAAAGATTTGTGCATTGTATGGAGAATGTGCTGTGACTGATCAAACGTGTCAAAAGTGGTTAGCGAAGTTTCATGCTGGGGATTTCTCTTGCTGGATGATGCTCCACGGTCGGGTAGACCAGTTGAACTTGACAGCGATCAAATCAAGACATTAAGAACAATCAATGTTATACCACGCGGGAGATAGCCGACATACTCAAAATATCCAAATCAAGCGTTGAAAATCATTTGTAAGAGCTTGGTTATGTTAATCGCTTTGATGTTTGGGTTCCACATAACTTAAGCGAAAAAAACCTTCTTGACCGTATTTCCACATGTGATTCTCTACTTAAATGTAATGAAAATGTTCCATTTTTAAAACAAATTGTGATGGGCGATGAAAAGTGGATACTGTACAATAATGTGGAACGGAAGAGATCGTGGGGCAAGTGAAATGAACCACCACCAACCACACCACAGGCCGGTCTTCATGCAAAGAAGGTGATGTTAGATATAGTGGGACTGGAAGGGAGTCCTCTATTATGAGCTCCTTCCGGAAAACCAAACAATTAATTCCAACAAGTACTGCTCCCAATTAGAACAACTGAAAGCAGCACTCAATGAAAAGCATCCAGAATTAGTCAACAGAAAACACATAATCTTCCATCAGGATAACGCAAGACCACATGTCTTTTTGATGACCAGGCAAAAACTGTTACAGTTTGGCTGGGAAGTTCTGATTTATCCACCGTATTCACCAGACATTGCACCTTTGGATTTCCATTTATTTTGGTCTTTACAAAATTCTCTTAATGGAAAAAATTTCAATCCCCTGGAAGACTATAAAAGGCACCTGGAACAGTTCTTTGCTCAAAAAGATAAAAAGTTTTGGGAAGATGGCATTATGAAGTTGCCTGAAAAATGGCAGAAGGCAGTGGAACAAAACAGTGAATACGTTGTTCAATAAAGTTCTTGGTGAAAATTAAAAATGTGTCTTTTATTTTTACTTAAAAACCGAAGGAACTTTTTGCCCAACCCAAAATTATCCCCAGTTCCATCAACAGTCAACCCAGAAAAGTCTGGCTGGCTGAGACTGGTCTTTACCACACCTGGGGCTCCCAGCCCTGGCTGCAGAGTTAAATCACCTGAAAAGCTTTAGAAAAATACAGATGCCCAGGCCCCAGGGTCCACCAATTCTGTCAAACCCCTAGCAGCGGAGCCAGGCATATTAATTTTGGAAAAGCTCCCCCGGTGATTATAGTGAATATGTAGGGCCTAGAACCACTGCTCTACACAAGGAATAGAGGAGGGAGGTGTGGACAGAAGGACAACACAGTGGGTAGCCATTGTCTGTGTCCAGTTATCCACCCCCAGAGCCACACAGTGCCACAAGGGATCCTGCAAGGCATTTAATTTGGCACACAGTTTTAATGTGTGCCAAATTAAATGCCTTGGAAAGATAAATCCACAAACCCTGCACGCTGTGTGATATATTCCAGTAAAAACTGCTTGTGCATAATGGGCTTTTTCAAACAGTCTGCACCCCTGTCTCACTTTATTCCTACAGAGCACTGGTTCTCAGGCAGGGGCAGTTTGGCCCTCCAGCGGACATTGGGCAATGTCTGGAAACAAGTTTGCTTCTCACTACTTGGGAGGGATAGGGAGGTGTTACTGGCATCTGGTGAGTAGAGGCCAGGGATGCTACTAAACATCCTACAATGCACAGAATGGCCCCCTGCCACAAAGAATTATCCAGCTCCAAATGACAACAGTACCGAAGTTGAAACACTCTGCTGTAATGAAGCAGTAGTCACCACTAGGTAGACGCGAAGCCTTGAATACAACCCTCCTCCAGGTCGGAAGCCCGTCCCTGACCAAGCATGTTTCAAAGAATCACAGAATCTTACAGCAGGAAGAGACTTCAGAGACAATGAGCCCACTGAGACTCAGTTGGGTTTTTAGGAAAATCCTAGAACAAAGCTACACAATGTTTACCAAACCACATTATAACGCATTGCTGGCTTGACTTTCCACCCAGGTAGCACAAGTGTTGCAAATTAACTAAAAATGGTATTCCTTAGAGCAAATTCTTATGCGTTGATTTAACAAGTATTTGTTGGGTGCCCAGTATGTTCAGGGCACGTTGCCAAATTTCCCTGCCAACACTGTTACCCACCCTGGAATAGCCCTCTTAATGTTCAAGCCCCATATAAGATCCAGGCAAGATATGCAGACTCAGAACACAGCACAATCACCCCCAGCTGGGTTTATGGTGGTTTTATTGTTTTCTGGCTCATTGGGTAACTTGGCAACCTGGGATCAGGTGTGCAAAGAACTGAAGGAGACCCATCCAAGAATCAGCTCTCCCAGGGGCTACACTGGGGTGAGGCTTAGCACAGCCTGAAGCCCAAGGTCAGATGCCTAGCATTCCTCCCAGCTGCCCAAAGCTGCCCTCTGCCCCCAGCCCAGCCTGCTCCAGCTCCCTGTCACACTGGGCGAATTACGGGCAGCAGACTCAGGCCAGCCAGCACCCAGCCACCACGTCCAGGGCTCTCCTCCTTCTCCACGCCCCCTCCTCACGTCCTCACTGCCACACTGTTATCGACAAGAATAAGCATTCCGTGGTAACTCGCCACAGAAATGAAAACTGCTCTGGGGGAAGAAACTGGGAACATTTTGTCCTGCTGGGTCACAGGAGATTTAAGTTATTCTCCCTACTGGAGGGCTCATTTACACTGGGTGGAAACAACAACAAAATAAAAACCTGTGGAATGGATTGTGCAATAAAAGGAAATAAATGCTGCAGACCCAAACTGCTGGGGGCAAAGAAGAAGGGAGAAGAAGGACACGAAGCCACCATGAAGAAGAAACTGAGTGCGTGTGCCAGGGGGTGCTGGGCACTGGGTGATGCTGGGGGAGGGGGCCAGGGGCCGCCCTCCTGCCGGCTCCTTGAAATGTCCCTGTGCCTGCAACCATGCCTCCCCGTGCCAGGGAACACAGCTCCCCACGCCTCTGCCCACCCCACAAAACTCTGGGCTCAGCTGTGCCACTGCCACCTGGCCAGAGACAACTGTCCCTGATATAAAGCAAGAGCCGGCCAGAGCCACCTGCCCAGCGGGCCTGTGATCACAGCAGACGCTCCCAATATTTCACCTCTTTCCTCCTCCTTCGGAACTCTATCTCAAAGTTATTTCCTCAGGGATGCTTCCTCGAATCCCCTAGATTCATTCTTTCACTCAACAAATATCTACTGAATGAATTTATTGAGTGGCCCCCAAGGGTAAGGTGCCCTTCCACAGCAAACGCCTTCCCCTCTTTAACAATAATGATGGTAATTAAGTACTTACATAATTATTTCTTAGGGTCCAGTTCCCACCCCAAACCACCAGTCCTTCCAGAATACTGAGCTACATGAGAACAGGAGCCACATCTGTCTGGCTGACTCTGCTACATCCCACCGTCAGTGCCTCCCAGGTGTCAGGACATATTGAATGAATGAGTGAACATATGTGTGAGCAAACGGTCAGAGATACTCTTTTTATCATGTAAGCCCTCAAAAATCCAGTACTTATTTTACCCTTACAGCAGATGTCAAATTGGACAAGCCTCATTTCAAGTGCTCATAGCCACACGTGGTTACCATACGGGACAGTGCAAGGCTGGGCTCCACCAGGGCCTTACCAGTGTGCTTGTTTGCTGGGAAAGTAGGAGAACATTTAAGCTCTGCTACACCGGGAGACAACACATCCCTTATGCTTCTTTCTGGTCGTTAGATGGCCCGAGTCCAATCCTATCTCTGCCACTTACTACTTGCACGACCTGGGCAAGTTATGTGACCTCCCTGTGCCTCAGTTCCCTCTTCTATAAAGTGGGGGTATTTTCATAACAGTATCTACGTTATGGGAGAGATGGCAGGGAACAATGAGTTATGACCCCTCAGCCCTTAGCACACTGCCTGTCTCATAGTAAGTACGCGATAGCATCAGCCATTTAATATCTTATGATACGTTTACATCATGTACAGATATTCATGCTCCACCTCCTGCCACACGAGATGGGAGGTAGCTCAAGTCACCACACATTCCGTGGTTACAACAAAAGAAGAACCAGTATCCATTTTAGAATTACATTCTGAGCATATCTGTCACCGACAAAGACCCCTGGGTTCTCCAAGGAAAAGCAAGACGGACTCTAGGTGATAAGATAAGGTCTAACCTCTTCCTTTGTGCTTCATGTAGTTTCCCTTGTTCTTAGGGTGCCGCATCCAGAGGCCTCGCACCTGGCCCTTCAGACCGGCGTTCCTGGTGCAGCACGGCTGCGCCGTCTCCTCAGCTCCAGGGCTCTGCGCAGAAACACTGCAACCAGCGCTCAGTTCAAGATGGCGGCGGTGGCGGGCCGTGTGCAGAGCCGCTGCTCTCGGCGCTGCGATCTGGAGGCGGAGCCGCAGCAGCTGCACCAGATCCCACAAGAGCTCCGCCTCCTCCCCCACTGCCGAGATCCCTAGAAAGCAGCCCCACCCACAGTCTTTACGGGAGAGCGTGTGCTCTGCAGCCGGAGCTCACACCTCTCTCTTCTTTGATCAAAGAATAAAACTCTTTTGCTTCCAAATGGAAGAACTCAGTCTCGTTCTATTGGTTTGAGCAACACTGGGCAGAAGGACCCTTCTTAGGGACCAACTCGGGAGGGTCAGTAACATGTTCTTTCATGGGTACTGCAAGATATATCTTAACAAATGAGACTGATTATGGATGTACGAGTTGTACAGGCTAGTAAAAACTGTAAATGCACATAGAGAAGAGAATTTAGACTCGGCCATGGCACACATTATCACTGGTGAGAATGGGAAGTACTCGTTTAAATAAAAATCTTTGTGCAACTTTGTACAGGGTGTTTTAATGTGGTTCTCCCATCTGTTAAACTCAAATTCCACTGTACAGGACAGACAAGCTGTGTCCTTTCCAATCCAGCACAGAAAGAAAATGACATTTACATTTGATTTCCTGTCTGGGGCATAAAGTCGGCTCCAGAAAGCTGAGCATTCAGCAGGTTCCAGATGCAGGGCAAATGCTGGAACCATGACTGCTGTCATCGTGGCCCCAGAGCAGGGGGATGCCACATTTGGAATGAGGTAATAGTACCTACCTTGCAGGAACACTGTGAAAATTTAATTGAAATATTATGAGTGACAGTGCTTGACCCAAAGTAGGTATTTGATAAATGTCCTTAGGGAAACACAATCTAATGTCTGGGTCTTCTAATTATGCCACAATCTCATTAAAAAGACTTCTGTATTGAACTAAAAATATGTTCTAATTCTGCCCTTTGTGACTATACAGAATGAGTCTAATTCCTCCTCCAGAAAGCCCTCAAACATATGAGGGTGACCTTTCATGCCCTCCCCACCAAACTTCTCTTTTCCAGCCAAACATCCTCAGGTTCCTCCAATAAGACAAGAATTTGTTGTCTTCAAAGTAACTAGAAGCATCTGGGCTCCAGTGGATCCCAAGACACATCTCAGCACCAATAACATGCCAATAGCCCTGCAGGATCCCCAACTTGGTCTTGTGGGATATGGATAAAGTTAACCTCATGGTTAAGCCTAATGCTTTCTTCGTCATATAAAATTCAGGGAACATTCTGCATATGCTCTCCCCAGCCCCAGCCCCGACTGCAGATGCTGCTTTGTTTGAAAGAGCCCATTTTAGGACTAATACACTCTTCACAGTTGAAATCCAGTCCCGAACCTTTAAAGTGACATTTATTGTGGTCTTGGGAAAGGTTCAGTGGAGGTGAGAAGTGACAGCTGAGGGTGATAAATCAAATGCAGCTCAGTTTTCATTTAAGGGCAAACTATCATCCCGCCAGCCTGTCTCAGTCATCACAGAGCTCTGGCAGCTTGTGACTTCTCACGTACATGGTAAACAGAACACTGAATGGTGACAATTTCTTCAACTGCTAGGATGAGCCGTCGGCTTCTGTTCTCTGCTCAAACTTGACATCTTAAGCTGCTGGTTAGAGGACAGGCATGTTAAAAACTTTTCAGGACTAATCATAAAGCCTCTTTTAGAAATGATGCTGCTTGTACAGCATGTTCACAGCACGCCTTGTCTGCTCTGCTTCCTAAAGCGCTGAACTGAAGGTTGTAATACTCTAGCACTGACTGTCCATTACAGCAGTCACTAGCCACATGAGAACACTGAGCATTTGAAATCTGGCTAGGTTGACTTGAGATGTGATGTAAGTATAAAATAATACAGGATTTCAAAAATTTAGTACAAAAAATTGTAAAATATCTTATTTCTAATCATATGTATTGATTTTATGTTGAACTGATAATGTTTTGGATATATTGGATTAAACTAAATAATTATTAAAATTAATTTCACCTCTTTCTTTTTACTTTTTTTTCCATGTGGCTACTAGAAAATTTTAAGTTACATATGCAATTTGTAATGTGGCTGCATTACACTTCAATTGAATAGCGCTGGTCTGGAAGGCAAGGTGGGAGCTGGAAACCCCTCATTTCTCTGGCTCTTCCTCTGGGTTTGGACTTAGGAAAAAGGGACCTACTTCAGAAACCATCACTCGCTTTACTATTTATTGGTTAGACTACAGCAGTGGTCCTCAAATTTCAGTGAAAATAAATGCTATGCACTGAACTGCATTACCCCAAGATTCATACGTTGAAGCCTAACCCTCCCTGTATTGGAGATAAGGCCTTTAAGGGGGTGATTAAGGTTAAATGAGGTCACAAGGGTGGAGCCCTGATCCAATAAAACTGATATTCCTGGGTATATATTTAAAAAAACCAAAAACACTAATTCAAAAAGATACACACACACCCTAATGTTCATAGCAGCATTATTTACAATAGCCTAGAAATGGAAGCAACCTAAGCATTCATCAACAGATGAATGGATGAAGAAGATTACACACACACACACACACACACACACACACACACACACACACACATACTCAGCCATAAAAAAGAGTGAAATTTTGCCACTTGCAGCAACATGGATGGACTTGGAGGGTATAATTCTAAATAAAATAAGTCAGAAGGAGAAAGACAAATACTGTGTGATATCACTTATATGTGGATTCTAAGAAATACAACAAACTAGTAAATATAATAAAAAAGAAGCAGACTCGCAGATATAGAGAACAAACTAGTGGTTACCAGTGGGGGAGTGGGAGGTACAAACTATTAGGTATAAAATAAGCTACAAAGATATATTGTACAATAGGGGGAATATAGCCAATATTTTATCAAAACTATAAATGGAGTATAACCCTTAAAAACTGTGAATCACTATATTGTACACCTGTAACTTATATAATATTGTACATCAACTATACTTCAATAACAAAAAAAAGAAGAGGAGGAAACACCAGCGCTCTCTCTCCACCATGTGAGGACACAGGGAGAAGGTAGCCATCTACAAGCCAGGAAGAGAGACTGCACCGGAAACTAAACCCTGATGGAACCCTGATCTTAGATTTTCCAGACTCCAGAACTGTGAGAAAATACATTTCTGTTGTTTTAAGCCACCAAGCCTGTGGTATTTTGTTATGGCAGCTTGAACAGACTAAGGCAATAGGCATCACCTGCGGAGCTTGTTAGACATGCAGGTTGTTGTTGTTTCTATTCCTGAAAGAGGCTGACTATTGATCTGAGACAGGCCTGGAAGTCTGCCCTTCTTTAACAAGCACTCTGAGCATTCTATGTGTATTTTGAGGTACGCTGGAGCAAAAGAAACATCATTATCTAGACCCCTGTTGGCGCCGTTTGCAGAAGGAGTTGGGGCAAGAACTGAATTCCTAGTTCTACCACTAATTTGGCAGTGGTAGCCAAATTAATTTGATCGTGAGCGTCCCCTTTTGGTAAAGCATTTTTGAGCATGCAACCGGCTGAGCACTATACTTCATGATAAATTACATATGCCCAAACTATAAACCATATGCTGAATATTAGCAAAGTTAATTTTTACATAAAAATACAGGTATGAAGTTATGCTGTTTTCTTTTTGGATCCCAGTCGATCATCTTCAGCCTGTGGAGGCCTCTCATCAAACAAGGTATAACACTTTATATGCTATATGAAGTCCTGGCTTTTGCCCATGCTGTTCCCATTTTGCCTTCTCTGCACTTAGAATATGCCTATTTATTCCTCAGGCTTCAGCTCATAAATCTCCTCGGAACCGCTCTTCCTTCTTTCTCCTCCCCCTCTTACAGACAGCATTTCAGCCCCTCTTTGCAGCACATCTATGGACTCACCACACTGAATTGCAAATATTTGTTTAACCTGTCATCTCCTTGGGGGCATGGACTGTGCTTTATTTATCTGTTTTGCCTGTGCCTTGCACACAGCTCCTGGCACAAGGTATGCATTTTTTTTTTAATGTTTGTAAAATGAGCAAAACAGTGAATGAGACTACAATTAATCAATACTTTCAGCAAGTCACTGCCCTTCTCTGTGGAAGCAGAATCACCATAGTTTTATGTGAGAAATAACCCACATAAAGGAGTGCGGTGAGAAGCTATCTGAAGCCATGCTGGGCTTTAAGTTTGGGTTTACAAAAGCACGTATAATTCACACCAAGCTGAGGATGAAAGCAAAGTGAACAGCCTAAACCACTCACAGCATAAAGAGCAGAGAAGGTTTTGGGGTGTTTGGGGTTTTTTTTACTGCTATTTTTAATTGTTTGTCTTAAGGTCAGGATCCTCCTGGCAAAGTAATAATGGATGGCTTGTGAGAGATCTCAGTGCATCTTTGTGGGGCAAGACAAAGATGGATGGGGAATGAGAGGGCTTGTAGAGGCAATATCATTTGTGAGCTACATCCAGGTCTGCACCTGCACAAAATGAAGCAGTCACTTGGTCCAAGCCTCAGAAACGTTACAGCTAAAAGTATCACCTTTGGAAATTTAAACCTGACTTGGGTGTGTAATAGCAAGTGTCCTCCCTTTGTGAAGTCTAAAGCCTCATTAGTTAGAAGTTTGTTTCCCCCATTCCTTCACGTGCATCGTGTTGTCTCTGTCCCCAAGCTTCCCCTGTCAGGGAGTCATCATGGGCGGCAGCAGTACCCTGGCTGGAAGAATTCTCTGGGTGCTCTCTCACATGTGCTGGGGCCCACAGGAGAAGAGAAATGCCTTGTCACTTCCCTGTTTACATAACAGCTTTTCCTCTCAGCAGGAACTTGAAAGAAACAAAGTTGTACATAATCGTTTTATCTTCTCAGACCCACTTACAAGGATTGACCCTGTGATATACTGAAAAGTAAAATACATGTCTGTTTATGAATCACTTTTCAAGGTGATTAACAAGCAACATTACCAGTAGAAAGGTTTCTATATTGTTCCCCTAAGAGTAGGGTTGCCATATTTAGCAAATAAAAATATAGGACGCCTGGTTAAATTTGAATTTCAGATAGGCAATGAATAATTTTCTGGTATAAACACATATTGCACATGTCCTGCATTTTATCTGGCAACCCTACCTGAAGGGGAAAAAATCTCTTCATAACCCTCATGGGGAAAATTTCTCTCTATGTCTCTGGAAATGTTTCCCACTAGCTGAGAGGTGTATGTTAATAAAAACATACG